CGCGCTGCTCTTAAACGGAAGCGGGCTCCATATTAACTCGCACCGCACGGCGGTGTTAGGGACATAAGGAAGGGGTCCTGCGCTTACCTTTTTGATCACTTTTTAGATATCGTTGTCGTCTATAAAAATATTTTACAATTGCAGGCTATTAATATTATTTCATGGATTATCAAATATTTTACTTGGATTATCTTAATTACTTTATGCCTCACATAAATTAACTTAAACCCTTGATAAATATATCCTTAATATATTAATATCAAATGGTCCATCGACCTTTGCGCCAGTGTATTAGCATTATCACAACAAACTATCAGCCAAAGAGAATTTCCCCAAAGATACCAACATATCAGTCGGTTTATTGTGTATTCTAGATAATTATTCTTCGAAAATGTGCTGGAGAATTGGAGATGCTTCTATTTTGTATTAGATAAATCACTCGTGCTATTATTTGTAACACTAGGTTTCCATCAAGCAAAGTCACTTAATATTTTATATATATGTACGTCACTTGTGTAATACTAGTAAGTAAGAACTATATATGTCTATAGAGGAGAAAGGGATTGTTAATAATGAAGCCTAATTTCCCCATTACTAGCAATACACTAGGTGTCATGTCGTATAGGGAGATCAAGGATATGGCCTGGGATAGAGCTGGCTGGAAGATGCATGAATTAGTTGCACCGATAAGAGGAAACTCTTAAATGAAAAGAAGAAGATGCTATTATTTGCACTATGCTTGTATTTGGAGAATTTTGATTTTAGACGGTGAGGTTTAACAGAAAAAGTAATAGTCCAAATTTACCTAGAATTATACCAGTATCAAGATATCAAGCTAAAAGGCAAGCTGATGACCAACTTTAAAAAGTGATAATCTTCGTCTATAGACTTGAACAGTACCATAGACATACCTCTCATGCGTTGCCATTTCTGAGGATTAAGGTGTTATGCACTCTGTAATTTCACTGCCATATTCCCGTCTTCAAAAAATTTGAGGACCTCATTTAGAAGTCTTTTAAAAACAATCATTATCATATCTTCGATACGTAGGAGAAGACCACTATGTATCATCGTGATTTTGACTGGAGACGTTGGACTTTAAACCCCGTACCAGGACTATTATTCCATTGGATCCGATCCGAGACCCGAGACGCTCCATCCGCCGCTAAACATACCATTGTGTTTGTAACCCTCATTTGTTTACTTCAAGAGACTTAGTATTTTTGTACGTATTGAATTCACTTTGTTCTCTAATCGGATATTATGTTTAAGGTTGACGTGTTATTGCTTGATCAATGATTGATTGGTGTGTGTGTGTGTGTATATATTGAGTCATTACAAAACCACATGTCAGTTTTCGTCTGATTGCGAATATTGCAAAAAAAAAAAGATACATTTCGTCATTTATCAGCGTTTTTTATTGCCACGGTTAAATTTTTTTAATTTTCTGTATTAAGGATAACGACTGCCTTAAACTTATCTGTTTGATTATCAAAAACATCATGTTCTTAATCTAATTCGAGCTTACATTTGGACTAATTAATTCTGGATTAACCATGTAATAATTTCTTTTTTAGTTTTATTAATAATTATGTAGTGATCTAGGAATAACAATACATTCCTTACTCCGGGATTAAGGTCCATTTCATGGCTGTCCCTAACAATTAAAATTAAATGACAGATTACAATTTTGAGTTAAATTTGATATTTGCGCTTGGTACCTACTTTCAACTCCTACGAAAGTCTATATTAATTACGGACGAAATAATATTATTCTCATTTATGAACAAATTGCTACTTATGACTAAACTGTATGGGCTATGCACTTTGCCTATCCAATTTTGGACGAATTTTACAACAATAACAATTTAAATTTGACATTCGTAATTGTCAACTGATATTACACTGATATTTAATTGGTACAGATTTTCTCGATTTCCTATTGGTCGATTTCTCGAAACTTTAATAATAATAAAATAAAATTATACAAAATGAGAAAATAATTTATATCGCTGACTTATCCCACGTACACTCGGTTATGGAATGAGCTCCCTGCCGAGGTTTTTCCAAGAGGCTAAAGAGGTTTATTCTCAAGGTTGGCAACCCGCGCGTAATACCCCTGGTATTGCAGGCGTTTATAGGCTATGGCAACCGCTTACCATCAAGTGGGCCGTATGCTTAATTACCACCTCAGTGGTATAAAAAAAGAACGCTGACTTATAGCGTACCATAAATAAATTACAAATTTATTACTTCTCAACTTATTGTAATAATATATTTAGGCGTGTTACTTAATTAAAAAAAAATCAATAAAAAGTACCTATGCAACGGCATGAAAGGTAATAATGTGACCGAACCATAAAGTAACAGTAACAGATTCTTTGAAAGTACACCCTTGTTCCGTCGCTAAACTACCTGGTGGCAGCGTTTAACTTCGAAAATAACGTTGGACTAACTTACTCATCCATTATTCCGTGCTTATTAATACAAAATTTGCTTAATATTGACTTGTTACTTGGAGTAAAATTAATCTGGCTATAATATATTATATTAATAACTATGAATTTGAATATCCTAGGCTAATAATAGTTATCCACGTATATAATACAAGTGGGTACTACAGTTACTAAGAAAAGAAAATGTAAAGTGTGTAAATAAATGTATGAATAAGATGTATTTACTGTAAAGGTTTGTGTGTGTATATAAGTGTGTAAACGCATCGTATCGAATGATTTAGTGTATTCACACACACAATGCTACCGCATAGCAACAAATGGTCGTCCCGCTGGAACACCAACAAGCTGTAGTGTATGCTAAATAAAAAAAAGAAAAAAAAAATTTAAAATTACAAGTTTAGAACTTTTTTCTTTCTTTCTAATTTCAATTCAGTTGAGTTGTACTTTGGTAGCACTAGCTCTAGCTGCTTCTTATAGCATCATGAAGTGAAAAAACAGTGCTCATTGTATTTTAATTCGTGATCCTCCGAGTCGCACAGTCAGGTTCACGCTCGCGTCTCAGCCGCTCATGATTAAAGGTCACAAATTGATCCTGAAACTAGTCGAGCTTTCTCTATCTAATTACACGTAAGTTAAACTGATAGTTGGCCGTGTGGTCCCGGCATAGAATAGGCCACCCCTTCCTTTCCCGTGGGAGTCGACTAAGGGACGGCGAGGGATGGGCAGCATCGTCCCTTTTAATTGCCAATCCGCCTGCCAAGTGTGGCAACTACTGGCAAACCCCCGAAGGGGGAGGCTTATGTTCAGCAGTGGACAGCTAAAGGCTGATACGATAAATCGATAGTTTTTGCATTAAAATATGTGTACGAAACTTTTAACAACAAATAAAGATATGGCTCATTGTATTGTTACTCGCGGAATGTCTATATTTATTTTAAATCCAAAGACCCCCTATACTGCCTACGTACTTGAATCGTCTGCCTCACGGGCCATCATTGTCTCACGTGTGTAGGAGTACAAACAAGATCACATTATATACCACTTATTTTCATGCCATCGGCGCTTTTATTACAACACTTTATGGTTGATATTCGCTTGTACAAATTAACAGGATATGGTAGTCCAGGAATTATTATCTTGCAGTTGAACATAAGTATATAATAAGTTTATATTATTTTTATGTACTAGTTTTTCATCGCGTCTTCGTTTCTTTTGCAATTTTTGATGATTTATCATTTAATCAGTTATCAATGACTATTACTTGAATAACCGAACAACCTACTCTACTATGGAAGTCGCTGGGGGGAAAGGGATTGTTGGCAATGGAGTTAGACAGCCCCATTGCCAGCAATATGCCCTAAAAGGTCGACCTCCACGTGGTTCCCCCTGGAAACCATCGTGAACAATTCTTGTTGAATTCGTCACGATGGGCTAACTGACCTGCTTCATCCTCGCTTTCACTGGTGCTTCGCCAGTGTATTGCGATAGCGCGGGTGGTTACTATTTCATTATCACCCATTAAAAAAAAACTATGGAAGTCGCTAGGATCATATTTTTTTAGATCGCTATTGACTCAATAAAAGACTTGAAGTTTACGCTTTTAAATTACAGTGATATTTGAAAATGGGACAGATAAAAGAAACACAAGGTGTCATGTTGTATAGGGAGGTCAAAGATTTGGCCTGGGATAAAGCTGGCTGTAAGAAGATGCGCGAATTAGTTGCACTGACAAGAGGAAACTCTTAAATAAAAAGGAGGAGAAATAACGTATTTAGTATATTAAAATTAACTAAGACGAATAGTTCGAAAAATATTATCTATGTATCATTTACACAGATATGACGCAAAAATTAAGTGACTCACAGTTGTGAGAGAGACAGATTTACGAGATTTATAAAAATATAATATTTATGCGTCTCGCTCTGATCGGTCTGGGTTTACATTCCTGATAATCTGAATTTGAAATATCTATACCTACAGCAATAGATAGGAGAAAGAAGAGTGAGAAAGGAAATAAAGAGGATGCAAAGCACGTATAAAAGAAGTTTTTTGTAGTAATTGATATTTTATATATACTTTTGTTCTATCACAGTATATAGTTTCCGCAGCGCACGCGACGAAAGATATTTTATAGCATTTTTTTACACCTTGAGTTAAGTTACTAAAGTTCCCTAATCTTTTCTAGCAATAAATATAGCCTATGTTACTCAGTGTGGATGTAGCTTTCTAACAGTGAAAGAATTTTTGAAATCGGCAAAGTAGCATACATACACACAAAAATACAAATCTTTCCTCTTTATAATATTAGTGTAGATGTATATATGTATGTATAGAACAGATGGCGTGATGACTGATTCTCAAACGTTAGTATAGGTTCCTTCTCAATGATAAGTACTTGTTTACATCGGATGAAAGTGACGCGATAACTGTCAAGATGTGATAAGATGTGGCGAGACAGTGGTTACGGGCCACGCGAGCTTCACCTAACAAACGTTCCACGGACTAGAGATCAGCCGACGGACCACGTGAACGTCACTCGAAGCGAACTGATCGCTCTGAAACTGTGAATCAGTTGCGGAACGCGCGCCGCGCCGACGACATCTTACCGCGTGCGTTACGAATAAAAATTACACGCAACACATTTAAAAATATTCCTAATTCTATTTACAAGTTATATTTTTTTTTTTTACAAAGTGCCTGCCTGTGATAGTTTTTAAGTGATATTATTGTTAGTTTTACAAGTTACAAATTGTTACCGGTGAGTAGTAATCAGTTGCACGCTATATTTTTATGGTTAACGCTGTTTTAACCACGTGAAGAAGTGTAATTGCACAAAAGAAACGTAATTTGACGGTAGTTGTTTTATTGTTGAATATTTGAATCGAGCTTTCACAAGTCGACGCTTAATATCTTTTTAACAACATTTCGTTTTCGCTTTCCAATCAAAATGCTTGCTTTTTTAATTTTATTTTTTTATTTCTCTATTAACTTAGCTGTATATCTTTCATTTTTAGGATTTTTATAAGGAATTTATTAGGAATTCATAAGTTTTAATTTTCGTTTTTTTTTTTTACATATTGTTTTAGTTCTTGGTTTTAGGGTCTTATTATTTTTTTTTTTTTTGATAATTTTAAATACCCACCGAATTCGTAGGAAGATAGTCCTTCATCTGAGACCCAGCTATAAGTCGTGTGTACACTACATGATGATAGCTTTACGTCACCGTTTACTTAGGTCAATAACTTACGGGAATGCGGTGCTAACTACACGCTAACTAGAACCGCAATGTTACCAAATTACATTTATATTTCACACGTGAGTGGAGTTTGTTACAATCAGTTATGAAGACAAACAATTTCGCCAAACAAACCGCGTTAACGGGATTTGTGACATGACAAACTAAATTTTGATACAGGTGTTACATTAAACTGCACGCTGCAATATACGGGTGCATTACTGAATGAAAAATAAAAATAAAATACACTTTAATAAAGACTTAGTTATTATCAAAACAAACTATAAGTAAATGACGTTGAAAATAAAACGAATAGAAATGCAGTAATTAAATATATAAATGAATAGTTTTATTTCTTAAACACCTGTGTCAATTGATGATAGATAGGTGTGTGTCGTCATATAATACATATATAATATGACAATGTGTGAAATAGTCGAGTATTCAGTATATTTTATGCATTATAGTATATTTTATACATAATATGTAGTTTTTCACATATGGTATGTTAGATGTTAGACTTTTGTAATGCCTTGCAAGGGCAAGCAAGTATAGTAAAGTTGTAAACCTTAACAAAGTCAAATTCGCGAATTCCCTTCTCTTTTTCTCGCTTTTTATCTCTCTCGTTCCATTAACACAGGTCTAGGTACAGTAGGGTATTCTCACACGTCGTCTTCTGGTCCTGCCTCGAGTTTCATTTTTGAGCACTTGTTTTCTTTTTAATTAATATATACTAGTATTTTGGACTAGCAAGAAATGTATAGGCGTCCTCTTTCTCAGTTTGTTCTAGATTATGCACCTAGCTATATGTACTAAGTAATTACTATTCCGTCTCAGTACATGGCTGGCCGTATCAGTTGTATCAGCGTTCAGCCACCTTATCCTCAATAAGAGCTGCTTTAAAAGTATCTATTAAACCCTACGAACAACCTCCGCCCATCTTATCATTTACATCTTCGTTAACATTTCATTGATGTCCAGGAGTTTATTGCATATATCAGCCTTAAACTGTCCACTGCTAAACATAAGCCTCCCCCTTAGGGGGGGTTTTGCCAGTAGTTGCAACGCTTGGCAGGCGGATTGGCAACCGCAGTTAAACTTTGGAGATATTTTAAGAGGGGCGCTGCTGCCCATCCCTCGCCCTCCCTAAGTCGTCTCTTACGACACCCAAGGGAAGAAGGGACGGCCTATTCTATGCCGGGACCACACGGCCAATCATACGTACAGTATATCATCATACGAGACATAAATTATTCCCATCTTTGAGCTTGAAACAATCAACGTGACACATCAAATATTTTGAAAATGACTAATTATGTTACGCGCATTGTGTTTTATGAGTAATTTAAATTTTTAAATGGTAGCTTGCTGGTGAATGGTGACAGTTTGTTTCGTTGGAAGGTTGCTTGACAGGTTATTGTTTCGTAACCTTGTTGGTTTTCATTCTTCTTTTATTGCTAATTTCTCCAAAGTTTATAATTTCCTTAATACAAACTAGGTTTTTTTTTTTTTTTGGTGGATGAAAATGGAATGGTAACCCCGCCTGCGCTAACGGGATACGCTGGCGGAGCACCAGTGAAGGGCGATAGATGAGAATGAAAACAGGCTAGTTAGCCCATTATGATGAATTCATCAGGAATTAACCATGATAGTTTCCAGGGGAAACTACGAGGAGGTCGACCTGGTTAGGTATATTGCTAGCAAGGGGATTTTTAGTCTCCATTACTAACAATCCCTTTCCCCCCTAAGCGCAGGCAGGGTTACCATTCCACTATCATTCACTATAAAATACCAATTGGGTTTGGAACCCAGATTTGAACTTACGTAAGTTGGTTGAGAAATAAAAAAAAAAGTTATTAGTGTGCTACCTACGTGAATAGCATGCACAAATAAATTGTGTGGTCATTAACCTAACGAATTAATAATTGTCTGATGGCACTAGATTCCTTGTATCAGTATATAAAAAAAAATCATCTCAGTTATCTTTTAAATTCTTGCAAATTTATTGAGATTGCATTGCTCAATTTCGAGCCGTATAATCGGTTCATTTAGATTCAAGATAGCGTACATTTTCATTTTCAGAGCCATTCCATTCCACGAAAAAATCGTCGCACTCCCACTTTCGCTCTTGCAAAAAACCAAAGTAAATTAATTACACATCTATTTATTTAATAATATATTCAATAAATTAACATTCTAAGTTACACAAATTTAGTTTTTTTTTTTTTTTACTAGTATAAGTCAATTTTAATAACTTGTTTACTTGATTCAGTAAAACTAAGTAAACGTAAATCAACATGGTTCACTCGTGACCCCTGAGATATGCGGGTCAGGAACGTGATAGCAGTGATCTCAGAAAATCTAAACTTAGCCTTCAGTACGGAAGTTAACTTTAAGTACGTGATTTGTAGACTCTTCATATAAATAAAATAATAGTAACAAGGCCAAAGCAGCGCGTGAAATATAAATATTTTTTAATTAAAAACAAAAAAGACATTTTGGAAAACTGAAAAAATGGTATAGATTAGATACATCCCTGGAAACTGTATAGTTCTTTCGGAAAAAATAAATTAGACAGAACTTAAAAAGAACCACTAAGTAAAGCTAATGTAAATATAAGTCATGTTTGATTAGTATCTATTTCAAATGTAGACCCGTTCTTCTAAATATTCAATCCAAACGGGTTTAAAAAGCAGATATCTGCCAATTTACCTCTTATGCCATATTCAGGCCGAGAAAAGTCGCGGACATTAGTTAGCATCTAACAGTTATCTTAAAGATCTTAAGTGTTCCACCAAGCCACCAACTCATCATGTGATCGGGGTCATCTTGAACAGAAAGGTTAATGAGGTGCCACTCTTGTTCCAGACCGTCGATAACCTGCTTATCTCTTGCAGAGGTCTGCCACACTTACTGTGTATGTTACGTCCAACCAACTAACGAATACATATGTTAATTGGTATTGATTATTATTTATCTTGCAGAAGTGAAAATAATTCGTAAGTTCCCATTGCATCCTAACTTGAGTTAGGATCTCGAGTTCCCATCTCACTTGAAGACTACAGTTTCATATCGTTCATTATTCCTAAGATAATTGCGATTAGCTTGTTCTAATTTTGTAATCAAATTTATAATTATTTCTAATTATTGTATTAGATGTATAGTATTTATATACCTTACTATGGTATGCAGGTTGTAGTGGATATAAAGTCCAAAGGCACTTAGTAATATTGAATATTTATTATTTTAAACTATATATAAAGTGACGACGTGTTATACGTGCTAGTGGCGGGAGCGAGAGAGCTCGAACGAACGAGTCAGAGTGAATGATTACTAAACATTAGATTAACTGACTTTATAAACTAAGTTCTCAATTCGGTTGTTAATTTTTTTTTTTTTCTATCTGAAAATAAATATTTACAAAATGGTCCCATAGAAATTTTATCAAAATCGTGGCAAGTAGTTTAATTTTTACATCAAAAATACTTGTTCTGACATAATTATAGTCAGTGTTTTGTAGAACACAATATTTAATTATTATTGTTGTTATCTCATAATAATTAACATAGCTGTGTACGTAAAATATAATAGAATAGAATAGAATAGAAATATATCAAATTTACATAACTTTTAAATCTTATTTTTTTTAATCAGAAGCTGTCTCATATGTTGCTCTTCTATATAATATTTATATTATAATATTTTCATAATTAAATCTTATTACAGAAATATGTTGTATATTTTTATTTCTACGTATTTATTTGGATACACACTTGTGTCATTTGTGAAATTTGGATGTTTTATTTTGATATTTAAAAATTACTCTTCTTGATCTCTTGGAAACTTATTTTGTTTTAAACTTGATATTTTGAGATTTGAAAGATTTTGCACCTCATCGTTATTCTGCAATTTGTTTTTTTCTGAAACTTATACTATAGTCACATGTCGAATTTCGTACCAAAAACGCCTTTTCGGTTCTTTCTTTTTTTCTTTACTATTATTACTTTCTTTGTAACAATTCTTCTCTTTTTACAGATGATAACTTTGCAGTTATATCGATTTCACTTGTATGTTCAGGCTTGTTCAATTACTTTAAAAATAAGGGCTTCTAACGAGTCCTCGTTATAAATAACTGTAATTTTCAATTCTCATTACTGAAACTTGCATACTCTAATAAGTAGCTTTCAATTGATTAGAAATGTTCGTTCAGGTTTATACTACATTAATCATTGTATTGTTACCGTTCCTTTATTTATAACTGTGCATAGTTTTCCCATGACGCTATTGTAAAGTTTTATATAATATATAATAAGGATTTTTATCTTTATATGAATATATACATACACTAGGTTTTTTTTTTTATGCAATTTAGAATAGCAAACAAGCTGACGACCCACTTGATGGAAAGTGGTAACCGTCGCCTATAGACATGAGCAGTACCATGGACACAACAGAGTATACTGTTTCGCCAATGATACCCCCCATGCGTTGCCATTTCTGACGACTCAGTTGTTATTCCTTTG